ATGATTCAATATTATAAAAAATGTTGGCAAAATATTGTAGTTTCTAGATTAATCTTAAAATCTAGAATCTGTTCAAATGCCGATTAATATTGTATGATTCCATAAATTTTAATCAGTTTTTGGATTAATATATTATGTAGAATCATTTAAACTAATTTGTTTAGGTTAATTTATTATATTTAATATTAAATAATTCTTTAAAATGAAAATCAAATTTATATGGATTATATTTAATAAAATTCTGACAATTAAAACTTCATATTATAATAATTCATTCACAATTAGTTTTACTAAATAAATCAAATGGTATTTCCAAAAGTAAATCTTCATTCTCTAAATATATACTACCACTATAATTGTCTTAGTGAATACTTTCAAGTTTTCCAACTTTCCCACAGTGATCTCCTTCTTTCAAAATCATGACTTAATTTCCAATTTTAGGTATTACTGTTTACAGGAATTTCTAATCAATAATTACTTTTTCTTTAGTACTATTTTAAATTTCAATCAATCCTCCAAATTAATCTATAATTCTTTTAACAACTCCTTTTTTTCCATAATATTTTCCATTATTTAATTATTAATCAATAATTTTGACAACAATATTTTCTTTAATCCATGGTGAATCCTCAACAACTTATTATTAAGTTTATTAAGGTTAACTAATTGTATTTTGATTATTTTTATATTTGATATTTTGATATAATTTTTCCATGTTTTCCTTTGAACCTTATTATTTAAGTAGACTTTCTTCAATCCATTATTTATTTCCTTGAGTTTCATTATCTAAAACAACTTGATTGTCTTTCTTACCTCCTTAGTTGAAATTGATATCAAAAGATATGAATTAATCTTATGATTATTAATGGACTTAATTACTATTATTTTATTATGCTTATACTTTTTAATCCTCTTATTCATTTTGATAATTAATATCTTATTCATTTTATTATTACCCTTTAATTATTAACTTTTCAAGTGATTTATCAATAAGAGCATTTTATTTTTCAACTAATTTAACTTTTTTTGTTTCTACTTTATCGTATTTAATTTTCTCTGGATTGAAATTAATATTCCAAATAATTATATCTCCTTAAGAATGATCAAAACCAATTTTGTTATTTGTAATCAAATATTAAATAAAATCTGTTAATTTAGTCCATTTAGTTCCATTTAAATGTACATGATCTACTTTTCTAATCATTTCTTCATAAACTTTATTTGAGCCAATCTTTTAATCTTTATATTTTTCCTTTAGTATTTCCATAAATGCTGTTTCAAATTCTTAACTAAACTATTCAATATAAAAATCAGGATCTTCATTATATAATCTCATCATTTTCATATGATGACCTGAATTTAAATGACAACGAAACCCATTTTCATCATAACATTATTTTCTACACATTTAACAAAAGAATTTCAATTTTGCTGTCTTAGTAGCTTATTATTTTCCATATGTTTAACTATACATTATAATTTTTATTAATATTCGTTTTAAATGAGATTAGTGTTCTGGATAATAGTATTTTTAAGTTTAGTCTAAGCCATCCCAAAGAAGCAAATATCAATTCATAATAAATACAATACACCCATAAATGCTCAAGATGTTAAATTAAGTGAAGTAGATTTAGCTCTATATTAAAATGATATGTAATAAATTGGTTAAAAGAATCATTTGAAATCTGAAATTACAAATTGGATGCAAGCTAAGACAAGTTTATTAGAATAATTATCAGCTTTTTACAATTGTTTTGAAATATTTTTATCTAAATAACAATAAATAGGAATTTTATTGGTTTGTGTAATATGCTTTGCATTTTATTTGATGGTTAAATCAGAAGATAGGAATATGAAATAGAAAAAGTAGAATACTAAAAAGAAATAGAAAAATTGCTAGCAAGATGAAATAGTACAAATATTGACTGAATCTCTTATTGCAAAAGAATAATGTCCTCTTCCATAGGTTTCTACTATTAATGGATCCCTTCATTTAGAAGAAAGAGTGTTTTTATTATAATTAATATTTTTAGTAATAAATCAGCTGATTAAATGAAAAACAATGAACAATTTACTTTACATAAACGATCCAATTCACAACCAATCATTTAACCAAATTTACCTGATTATTCTGCTGAAGAAATCAATAGTTTATTGAAGGACATTAACTGATTATCTAAGTAATAATATTCATATAAAAAAAACATTATTTGTTCACTTATCATTCCAATGTAGTATTTTTTTTATAAACAAATTTTAAAAAAATGATTAAATTTTATTTAAAAAATATTAAATGGTGAACATACCAAAGAATAGAAAAACCTTTTGCAGAAAATGTGGAAGTCATTAAAGTTGCAAAGTCTCCTAATATAAAAAGAGCAAGGAAAGTCCATTTGCTTAAGGTAGAAGAAGGTACGACATGAAGCAAGCTGGTTATGGAGGCTAAACTAAGCCTATTTTCAGAAAGAAAGCAAAGACCACAAAAAAGGTGGCATTAAAGTATTTATATTTTACGAGAATAGGCTTGAATGCGTCAAGTGCAAATTAAAATGGTTAAAAGTTATTAAGAGATGCAAGACTATCGTCTTTGTAGATGCTAATTAGCTCAAAAAACAATAAGAATTAAAGAAGAATGCTAAATGAGATAATAATAGTATAATAAGACATATATTAGTATTTTATTAAAGAATTTATATTTATCAAAATACATTAAATTTTTACTCTCAATCCACTTGTATTATTAAATTAATATATATATATATATATCCCTGATAAAATATACTTTATATTAATTTATCTTTCAAAAAGGCTTTTAATATCCTTATTGAGGATAACCCTAATATCCAGGTTACTAAGGTGGGTATCCAGGTTATGGTGGATAACCTGGTTGAGGTGGATATCCTGGTTATTATGGAGGATAGCCTTGTTAAGGAGGATATCCTGGCTATTAAGGTGGATAACCTGGCTATTATGGTGGATAACCTGGTTGAGGAGGATATCCTGGCTATTAAGGAGGATATCCTGGTTATTAAGGAGGATATCCTGGTTATTAAGGAGGATAACCTGGTTATTAAGGAGGATATCCTGGTTAAGTTGGATAAGGTTATGCAGGATATCCAGTTTAAGGTGGATAACCTGGCTATTAAGGTGGATAGCCTGGCTATTAGGGTGGATAGCCTGGCTATTAGGGTGGATAACCTTATTATGGAGGGTATAGAGGTTATTATTGATAGGGTAGGTTTGGTGGATAGTATGGTTATTAATAACCAGGCATAGTTGGAGGTTTAACACCACCATCAGGGAAAAATTAAACTTCAATTAAAACTTATCCAGCTGATTTACCCTATTAAATCTATACATGTCATATACTTTATAGTTTAAATTGACCCATTCTGTTCCATTAGGCTTTGTTAAGTAAGTCTATAATGCTAAGGATCCTTGACCAATCAAATCATTTTTGCTCACTTCATCTTTATCCCAAACTTCAATATCAGCAATCAGTTCTGAAGTTCTACGAAATGAAAGAGTATCACTCCATGATGGGTATTTACCAGCATCTGTATGTGATCTAGTTCTTTGAGTTTATCCACCTACTCTTACTAAACANTTGCAGAAAATGTGGAAGTCATTAAAGTTGCAAAGTCTCCTAATATAAAAAGAGCAAGGAAAGTCCATTTGCTTAAGGTAGAAGAAGGTACGACATGAAGCAAGCTGGTTATGGAGGCTAAACTAAGCCTATTTTCAGAAAGAAAGCAAAGACCACAAAAAAGGTGGCATTAAAGTATTTATATTTTACGAGAATAGGCTTGAATGCGTCAAGTGCAAATTAAAATGGTTAAAAGTTATTAAGAGATGCAAGACTATCGTCTTTGTAGATGCTAATTAGCTCAAAAAACAATAAGAATTAAAGAAGAATGCTAAATGAGATAATAATAGTATAATAAGACATATATTAGTATTTTATTAAAGAATTTATATTTATCAAAATACATTAAATTTTTACTCTCAATCCACTTGTATTATTAAATTAATATATATATATATATATCCCTGATAAAATATACTTTATATTAATTTATCTTTCAAAAAGGCTTTTAATATCCTTATTGAGGATAACCCTAATATCCAGGTTACTAAGGTGGGTATCCAGGTTATGGTGGATAACCTGGTTGAGGTGGATATCCTGGTTATTATGGAGGATAGCCTTGTTAAGGAGGATATCCTGGCTATTAAGGTGGATAACCTGGCTATTATGGTGGATAACCTGGTTGAGGAGGATATCCTGGCTATTAAGGAGGATATCCTGGTTATTAAGGAGGATATCCTGGTTATTAAGGAGGATAACCTGGTTATTAAGGAGGATATCCTGGTTAAGTTGGATAAGGTTATGCAGGATATCCAGTTTAAGGTGGATAACCTGGCTATTAAGGTGGATAGCCTGGCTATTAGGGTGGATAGCCTGGCTATTAGGGTGGATAACCTTATTATGGAGGGTATAGAGGTTATTATTGATAGGGTAGGTTTGGTGGATAGTATGGTTATTAATAACCAGGCATAGTTGGAGGTTTAACACCACCATCAGGGAAAAATTAAACTTCAATTAAAACTTATCCAGCTGATTTACCCTATTAAATCTATACATGTCATATACTTTATAGTTTAAATTGACCCATTCTGTTCCATTAGGCTTTGTTAAGTAAGTCTATAATGCTAAGGATCCTTGACCAATCAAATCATTTTTGCTCACTTCATCTTTATCCCAAACTTCAATATCAGCAATCAGTTCTGAAGTTCTACGAAATGAAAGAGTATCACTCCATGATGGGTATTTACCAGCATCTGTATGTGATCTAGTTCTTTGAGTTTATCCACCTACTCTTACTAAACAAAATGGATCCATTTTTCCAAAAGTTTCAGTATCATGACTTAATTTGCCACTTAATGGCTTTATGATTAGTGTACCAGACATAATTTAAATTAATGAAAATCATATATCAAATTCAAAGTTGTTAGCATATCAAAAATTTTTTTTAATAGTATCTTAATTCCTCAATACTTTCTAAAATATCATCAAATGCTCGATGATTCAATTTCTTTTATGGTTAGTGATTACAAACATATGGATTCAACTTTTTACATAACAATTGTATAGAAGAAACATCTACAATTCGATAATGCAAGAATTAATCCAATTCAGGCATATACTTCATTACAAACAAACGATCCATATAAACTGAATTTCCTGCCAAAGGTAATACTTTTGGAGGTATATTATTTTAATTTAAAAATTAGAGTATTTATTGCTCTGCTTACTGTATTGTTACAGTAGATTTCAAGGATTCTTCATATAATCCTGAGGCTTTATGAGTATTAGTACACCACTAATCCATTCCATCTAAAATTTATTTATCTGCATGAATAATAAGATGTGGTCCCTTAATTATTGTTTATAATTTAAAATCAGTCAATATACAAGCACATTCAAGAATCTAATCTTAGAATACATTTAACCCTGTCATTTCCATATCTAACCAAAACTTTGTTCATAATTTTAAATATACTAAGTAATGATTTAAAGTGGATGTATTGGTATTATTTTGCATTTCAATGAAATTAAAATTATAAAATTAAAATATATTTGATTTTTCTAAATAAATTCAGATATCAAATCATTAATATTCTCTAAAGTTATTTGGTTATTAGTTGTTTAGTAATTTTAATTCAACAGCTTTTCTAGACTTTTTGTATTTTCCAACATAGACCATACAATTAAATTAAAATCTATATATATTTATGAATTAATAAAATACCTAATCTAAGACCCTAATTTAGCTGTTTTTAAAACTTCCTTTGTAACACCAGCCTTTTATAAATCATCTAAATGAACAAAAATATCTGATTTATCTTCATCCATAACAATAAATCCATAATTTTTTTATTCATCAAAAAACTTTAATCTCCCTGTATAGATTGGATTTGTCATCTGCTTTTTTTAATCACTATGTTGTAATTTATTTACAGAGGGTTAATTAATTAATGAATTCATTTCTAAAGGTGGAAATAAATCAAAATCATCAGTGTCAGGGAGAGTTTCTTCTAATTTCTATAAATAAAAATTCTAATTTAATTGCTAATCTAATTGGTTTATAAGTATTTATCCTTTCTTTTATTCATCCTAAAATAGATTTTATTTTTTTTCAGAGTTTATTTAATCTAAAGAAGGGAATTAGTAATCATCTTATAGAAATGATTATGGTTTGACTTAAGTAAAATAAACTATGTATAATTGAGTTTGAATTACAAGGTTAATTTTATTGAAATGATTGCAATTATGAAAACATCTATGATTAGTTTTAGTCTCTTTAAAAATCAAATATTTAATGTTCTGATAAAGACTTTTTATGTCTTCTGACAAAAGGTTTCTATTATTCTTTTTCTGGAGTCATATTAATTATTGGAATAGTTTTCTAAAGATTAAAAGAAATTTATACATCATCAAATAATTCATCAAATGTATAAAACTATTCTTATTCTTTATTATCTATTTGATATAACATTTCCTCCATTGCTATCAGACTTGTCATTTATACACTTTTAATAAGTGCAACATAACCAGTAAGTGAAGGATTATAACAAAATACATTAATTGTTCTACTGAATTTGGTTGGAACATAAACATTACAAAATAACTAATATCTTTAGTTAGTGTAAAATTCTTTGATTTTTGTTCTCATTATTGTAGCATATAATGATAAGTATTACTAATTATAATGTATTTTAATACTTTAGCATTGAACTATTGACTTTCTATAATATTTATAGTTAATTCATATCTTTATAATAATTTTGGTAATTCTGAATCTGATTTATAGAGTTCTTTGGCTGTTTTTAATAGATGGTCTTTGATTTATGGATCTGGACTATGATAATTAGCAATGGAGAGTGTATCCAATATATGCATGTCTGTTGAACTAGAAATGAGTAAAAGACTGATACCTGTTTATCCTTTATAAATAAGTGAGTGTAAATGGTTATCATTCAATACTTATTTCTATTGTAATATCATTATTTAAATTATTTATATATTTTATTATTCAGATTTCTTCTAAATCATCATCTTCATCATCATCATCATCTAAGTCTTTTGTTCCACTCATTAATATATTATTAGTTCTTATAGATCGATAAGATTAATTTTAACTATTAAGCTTTTAACTAAATCTACTTTATCTTAATGATATATTATTATTTTATTTTTTCAATTCAGAATGTTTTTCAACAATCATTTCTCTCATATTTTAATCTAATTAAGATAATTATCTAGTCAATTCTTTATTATCTTTTTTTAATCTATTAACTTTTTTTTACCAATCAACTTCATTATTTTCTAATTAATCTATTGTCATTTTAAGATTATTGCATTCTGTTAATAATGATCTTTTTTCATGTTATAAAGAATTAACTTGAGCTTAAACTTTATTAAATTTTTATTCAAGATCATCCATCTATTTTTCTGATAATTCAACCATTTTTTCAATCATATACTCATTTTATTTTTATTCAACCTTACTGTCATCTATCAATTATTTTAATCTTTAATTTTCTTATTAAAAATATTGTAAATCTTAATTTGTTCTATCTAAATGTTGAATTGCTGCTTAAAGTTACTATTACAATTAAGATATCTATAAATTAGATTGAATTTACTTCATAGTCTGCTTATTATAATTATTCATTCAATTATATATTATTAATCTTCATTCTTTCTAATTCATTAGAAACATTTGAACTATTACTATTATTTTATTTATTACTTTTATTTTTCCATCACAGGCATTTCAGGTAATATCTTTCCTAATTGACTTTCAAATTATTTTGATAAATTATATAATTGATCATTATCAGCTTCTAATTTTAATTTTTCCAATTTCTATTAATTATTATCTTGTTATAGTTATTTAATATCTTTCTTATATTATTGTAATTTATTCTTGTATTTATTTTATAATTTCTCTAATTCTTATTTCAAATGACTATTTTCAGTTTCTAATTTAGTTCTAAATTTTGAATATTTATTTTCTAATTATGCTAAATCTTTCAAAATATCATCATTTTTCTTAACTTTTACTTATACTTAATCTTAAATCTCTTTATTTCTATTTTTCTCTTCTTCAATTCTATTTTATTAATCTTCTACAACAGTATTTAAAGTTCTTATATTTTCTTCCAATTAATTTACTTAATCATCTCTATTTCTTAATTCTCTTGTTAGATATTCTAATTCTTCATATAATTTTTTATTTCTTTCCTATTCTTATTTTATTAATTTCATAAAATCATCTTCTCTTTTCTCATAATGTTTAATATTCTTAATCTCATTTTCCTTAATTACTTCAATATCTTATTCTAAACTTCTTATTTTAGCTTTCAACATTTAATTATCTTCTATTGCATATCTTAATTATTGGTTCAACTCACGTTATTCTTCAGAGTTTTATGGATAAAAATTATCTTTTGATTTGGCAGTTAAATACATAAATAATATAATTAAATAATCTAAATAAAAAATTGCACTTATCATTTTTTTATCTGTATACGATCAAATATAGACTCTTTTACATCCATTCTTAATTTACCATCTCTATTTCTCTCAGAATATTGTCCAATCACTATTACTTTATCATTTTATTTAAAATTAGGTACTGCTTTCATCTCTAAATTCTTATTATTAATAAATTCTAAATTTAAATAATCATATATATATATTACCTATTGCATTTTCAGCAGATGTTTAATTTGAAAAAGTAATTGTCGCTTATTTATTATTGATCTAACATTAAAATTATCGTTTACACTAATTCCTAAAATATTGGTATCATCATCTATTAATTCCCTAAGATCATTTTAGTTAGTATTTTCTTTCAAATTTCTGATAAATATTGAATATGAACCATTTTGTTTTATTTATTATTCTATCCATAAAACTTATATATCTCACCATCCTTTTTAGTTATGTTCAAAATTCCTTTCTTTTTGTTTATTTACTAAGTTTAAACCCTTCCTGATTGACCAGTATTTTAAATCATTATTACTTTTTTAGAAATAGCCTTTCTCTAAATTTAAGTAGAATGCACATTGTCATTTTCTTCCTCAGATTCCTTTCTATTCTATTATTTCTAACCTGATTATTAAGATGGCTTATATTCTTATTAATGATCTCTTATAATGTTAATACTCTTTGAGAATATGTGATTTTTATTCATTAGAATTAATATTTTATAAGAATACTTATATTAATAAAAATATGTTCCCAATCATAAACATTTCCAATACTATAAATATTATAAATAATTCATGCTGTTATTCATAGAATTTGACTATTAGAATTAGAAGTTATACATCTAATAGCCTACTAAATCGAATTGCAGTTTTAAATTGCCTATAAATTAAATATTCTATTGTTGACTTTACGAAAATCGTCATATTATATAAGAGTCTTTAAATATGACTCTAAATGTTATAATTCCTATTAATATAGAATCAATATATATACATTATCTTTTTTATTATCAAGATAAGGAATTATTGGAATTCCATTATCAATTTGAAAAGCATATGAGAAAGCAGAATTATCAATCAAGACTAAATCCTTTAAATCTCTATTGAGAATTCTCAAATCCTTTATATGACAACCTGATTCCACTTTTATGCAATCTTCTCTAAACAATCTACCACTAATAAAGTTTCCTGAAGGATCCAAATAATTAATGATTTAATTTGCATAATCTTCATTAGATGCTGTAAATATTATAATTTCATAATATTCAGCCATATTTCTTAAAAATTCTTATGCATATGGTCTTATACTAATTCCAGCCTAATTTAATTAGAATTCTTACTTGATATATTATATTATTTACTTATACTGGTATATAAAAATCTGATTTCAATTATGGATATTCATTACAATGTACCAAAGTTTCATCTAAATCTATAACTAAAGTTTTCTATCTTTCTAGTAATTTTAATTATAAAATACTTGTTTAAGCTTTAATTTTTTGTGATATTGAAAAAGTTAATGAAATTTAAATATTTTTTGATTTTTATAAATTCTCGTAGATCTATAAAAAGTGTCTTAAATACATTTAAGCCTAAAATATATCATCTAGTTAGTCTTCGAAATGTCCAACTAAATTATACATGTAATATTGTTTTTATTGAAAATATTCTATAAATAGATTTAAATAAAAATACTTTGATCTAATAATTCAAGATCTTCAGTAATATAAGTTTCTGTTGAGGGATAAGAATTGAATTTTTCTGATTGGCTAATATCTAAATCACTATTTGAATTCTGTTTATTCTAAAGCTAAAGATTATTTTTGAGATTTTTATTTTATTTACTGTCTTTCAGTTTTGAACCAAAATTTCTATAATTTGATAATTTTATAATTTATTTCTTTTGTTTATTTGTCATTTTATGCTTATAAGTCAATAGACTATAAATTGATATCAAAAATACTGAGACTAACTATTTGATATCTTATTTTTGTGAAAATCTGAGATAATATCATTTTAGTTGAAAGTATTGATTTCTATTTAGTTTCTTTCTGATTATTTTGAAATATTCATTTCTGAAATATTATTTTTCGAAATGAATGCACGTTTGACTTTCTTTTTCAATTTTATTAACTTCTTTGTTATATTTTTTAATGTTTCTAGTTAATTTAATTTAAAAAGAATACTTGAGCGATTCAATTCACCATTGGTCAACCTTTCTTAAGAAAAATGTTTCACATCAAGCCTTTCATTTGTTTACAATTCATTAAAAATAGACTTATTTGACTAATTTAAGTTAATAAGTACTAGGTGTTGACTCCCCTATGATGAAATTAGAGCAACATCATCAAATTATTTACTCAACAGTAGTTCTTTCTATTCATTTTTTTCCATTCCTAATATTTATTTTTATATTGAGAATGCTTTGAGAACATGAATTGAAGTATAAAAAATTCAAAGGGGGTATTAAAGATTTGAATTAATAATACATATTTCAGCAAATTTCCTTTCATTATTCAAATATTATACTTTTAATCATTCATGATATTTTATAGTTAATTTCTAGATGATATAAAATTATTTTGTTATTCATATGTTATTTATAATTTCTTGTTAACACAAAAAAATTTATGATAATATTATATAATTAGGTCTTAAATATCAAATAAAGACAATTCCTATTAAAAAAATCTGATTTCGTAACTCTCTTTCACCTCTATTCTTTTAATTAATAATATGTTAAAAGTTAATAATAATATAATTAATTAATTATAATTTAGATAAATAAATATAATATATTTATCTTTGTCTTAGATAAATAACATATATAATATATTTATATTTGTCTATCTAAATAAAGTAAATTAATAAACTAAACATCTTTATGTAAAGATATTTATTGATTATTATCAAATATAAACCACTTTTTCTTATGTATTATTAAATCCATAAAAAATCCAAAACATAATTCTATCATTATCTCTTAATATTAATTAATTATGTAGAAGCAACTAATATTTAGTTAATATCAAATGTCTAATAATATATTAATATATAAATTTAATAAAAATCTTATACCACATTTATAACATCTTAAATTAGTCTAAAAGAGTAGTAGTTTTATATTTGATATTAATTTTCGCATTTACAATAAAATTAATCATAGCCATTAATCTTTTTAATCATCATGTATATCGTATTAATTTAAACCTATGTTATTAGATGTAGGATGGCAACTGTTTTTAATTATAAAATATTATAAATCAATTAATATATATATATATATATATATAGTTTTTAATAAATCAATTAATTTAATATCCAGGATGAAATAATTAACATCTAACTTCAATGTTTTTAACCATTTTATACAACTAATATATTAATTACTAAGCCAATATTTTCTAGATTTCAATTTATGAATAATTAAATTAATCTGACACATGATAAATCAAAATAAGTTCTATTTAAAATGAATCATAATAGCATTCTTCAAAAATATACTTAATTCATATCTTCTTAAATATTTGGAAAAACTTTAATTGACTAAATAATTATTTCTTTATCTTCTAAAAGCCAATTAGATAATTGATTAATTTCAATCTATAAAATTCAAACTATCTTTTATGTGTATTAAATTAGAATTAAACTAATTAATTAATATTAAGTTAGATTGAATTCAAATTATATTAGCTATTGTTAGATAAGCTATGAGGAAATTAAAATATATAATAATAATAGATAAAACTAATTCTAGGTTTATTTTATTTAATAAAATAATATACATTAATTGGATTAAATTATAATTATAGTTTGATGATCTATGGCACAATTTAAGCAAGAAGATGTGAATTTTGCATAGGATTTAAGAAATTAAACATTGCTTAAGCTGCAAAAGCTCATAATGTGGTTCAGCAATGTTATATTTATTTAAGAAGAATAAAAAACTTATGTATATTTGAAAGTAACATAACCCTATAAAGTAGAATTACAGATCAGAATGTAGATTGTATTTATTTAAAAATAAGGTATTAAATTAAATTTGAGCATTACTGAATATGTGTAAATTTGATGATTCTATTTTAGTGGATTAAGAAATGTGTTTTTGTAGATTAAAATGAGAGAAACTACAGATAATTAACATTAGGTATCCTTATTTAATGAAGATTAAGATGAAGAGAATGTTCTTTAAGCAATGGAAGAAATTAACTTATCAGACTTAAAATATTTAGATGATACTGCTTATATGTTAAGTGAAGCATTAGTTATTACTTTCTTAAATAACTGGAATGAATTCTTCTAAATTGTATTTGGATTTAATTAATAATTAACTATTGTTTTACTAACTATTCCTTATGTAGTTGCAGTGTTTATTCTTATGATTTATAGTGATAGATTTTGATAGCATCATCTTCTGATTAACTACAGTCATATTTATAATCACTCATTTTTGCTTATTGCTTATCTATTTCGAAGTAATTCTGTGTTTATTTTCTTTAGTTTGCCTGTTGAGATTCAGAATTACCATTACTTTCACTAGGTATATATTATTGTTTTTGCATTTACCATTTATATCCTATTGATTCCATTAGAATTTAAATTTTAGATATTGTAATAGGATTGTTAGTAGTAATAAAAAATACTGATTTAGGTTTATTTTCAATAATAATATGAATTTAGTTACGTCTACCAATCTTATATTTTTGTTGGAGTTAGTTAGCATTAATTTTGTGATTAACATAAGTCTTGATTGGTTTGATAAAAATGATAGGAAAAGTAAAGTAGATTAAAGCCAGAGAGTAAATGAATGTTTATAGAGTGTTATTTTCAATAATAAATTTAATATGAGTAATCGAAATAGGAGTTTGGCAGAAAGAAGAAATTCAAAAAGTAAATGTAAGACTGCAATTTCTTAACGCAAAAACTCAGATAATGAAGATTATAATTTCTATTAAGAATTCTAGTTATTCTATCCCTAAGCTTAGGAAATAAAGTTTACTAAATTTGAATATATGAAAGAGTTCTTTAATTTAGGCATAACTGAATTTCCATCTGATAAAGAGATCAATCGTATATAATAAGAGATTCTAACAACTAGTGGTTGGAATACAAATCTTAAGAAGAATTGGACACTCAACGAAAAGAAAGTACTAATTTGGCTTATTGGAAAATTGAGTATTATGAGAAATGAAGATATTAGAGATTTATCATCTGAATTATTTGAAGAGATATCAAAAATGATATGTAGAAGAGATAAAGATTAATGCAAATAGAAGTGGTCTCAAATGCAAAAAATTGCACTTCAATAATAACCTTTTTAACCAGAAGAAGATAAAAAATTATATGATATTATTCTACAATATTAATCAGTTGATATGGGTTAAAAATGGAGTTAAATTGCTTAAGAATTAAATTAAAATTCAAATATATATAGATCAAGTAAATAATGTAGAGAAAGATGGCTTAATCATTTGAATCCAAAGATTTCTAAGTAAATTATAAATATTAATTTCTATTTAAGATAACCTTGGACTGATGAAGAAGATATATAATTATTAAATCTTGTTAAAGAATAAGGAAGAAGATGGGCAGAAATATCTAAAATTATGGATGGAAAAAGAAGTGAAAATAATCTAAAAAATAGATTTAATAGTTTAATAAAAAGAGAAAAGGATTTACCAGTGATGTATGTACATTATTAAAATTATTATAGATAAACTTAAAATGGATCAGCTACTAATTTGGATGATTTATTGTCAGGTTGCACTGGACCTGAAATAACTGATATGTAAAAATTAGCAATTGATGCATTATTATCTAAATTAAAATGGAGAAGTGCTGAAAGCTATAATAAAAATATAAAAAAGAAATCATAAGAATTAATAGATAATATAGATAATTAAGTAAGGAGACAATCTTAATCACGAACTTAAATTAATGTCTAATATACTATTGGAAATTTAGAGACTGAATAAAATATTATGGAATTAACACCTTGTTTAGTAAATGTAAGTAAAAACATTATATATTTTTGTACTCAAGATTTATTGATTCAATATTTAGGTTATCATTAATAGTAATAGCAATAATTTAAAGATCAATTTGATAAAATTAAGAGTGAATTATGTGCTTTTGATTTAGGTTTTTAAAATTTCAGATCTACACTCAGTATGATTGAAGAAATTGAAGAACCTCTCAAAAGTTAAACACATTTTTAACCAAATGATTTAGATGGATTCTTTAATTTAGAAACATCAGAAATTATTTCCAAACCGATATATGTGAATTCCCTTGACATGATAACAAATTCGGCCATCAAATACTTGTAACGTTGGAAAACAGAGAGTTAATTCAATGATTTGAGGAGATCAAGCATATCGATTCCGAGATCACTTCCGAATTTGATATAAATTTAATAATGAAAAAGAGTCTAATATTATTATTCTTTATACCTTTTATTTTATTCAAATGGGACGATTGTACACAAACATACCTTAAAATACAAAGAATTATCAACAATTAAGACAATGTATCAGATCAATTATCATTTTATGAACATCTCCTTATTATGATTATTCAAAATATTTAACATAATTGGATTAATACAATATCCATTTTTGATAATTGGATAGATTAATTAGGATCCATGCCTCCTAATAAATTAATTTAAAAATATATACCATCAGCATAAAATTTTGCTAATTATTTTGGAGGTGCTATAATTTTAACTAAAAGTAATGCATTAAAATAAGTTGATAATGTATTAGTTGATTCAACTGAAGTGTATTATTATTATTATTAATTAGATATATGATAACAGAATGTAATTAAAAAGATGTGTTTTTTGTTGTATGTTTAAAAGAAGAGATTTCTTTAGAAACTATAACTTTTATAAATAAAGAATTGTATTCTTCAACCATCAAAAACTTTTAAGTATTTTATTTAATTTAATACTTGTTAGGTCTATGGAAGTGTTGTTTATCCAACTAAAGAATGGGAACTTTTAGGTAATTTTTATGCTGAAGATTCTAATGAATGGTAAATATTCAATTTAGAATAACGATTCCTTAGATATTTAAAAATACATATTGTAGAATTTCATAATGCAGAATTTCATTGTACTTTAACTTAAATTAGGTTAAATTTTGTTAATATTAAATTTAGAGTATTTGGTTAAACTGTTATTGGTGATTTGATTGATTCACATAAAAGAGATAAAAAAGTTATTAAACCTGAAACTAAAACTGAAAACTCAACATAAGAGTAATAAGAAATTAATTAAAATGAGGTTTCAGAAGAAGAAGATCGATCTAAAAATGATACATGTTCAGTTGTTGATTATTTTTACAGCAATTAATCTCCTAAAAAAATAGAAAGTTAATATATAAATGTATTACCTTATGAATCAAGATAATCATTATTCAAAGTGACTGCTTAAAATATCCTAATATTGTCTCATAATGTAGAATTATTTAAAAATGAAATCAATTCAATTAAATAATAGAATTTATAATATTTATAAGAATAGGATGAAATCAAATCTTTTTAATAATAAATAATGACTTCAATTTAAGAATAAAAATTAGTTAATAATAATTTAAAAGAAGATTTAGAATTTTTATATCGTAAATTTTTAGCTATGTTTATTATATTAATAGCAATAGCAATTATATTAATTCTCATAAGTTTTTGTAATTAAAATAAATAATAAATAATTGAACATAATAGAGTTTCTACTAAAATTTATAGTACAATAGTTAAATCTTAACCTGAATTATTAACTCCTTAATTAATTGAAAATTAAATTAATAGAAAATCTATCTCATAAATAAAATCCTAAAATGGAAAATCAAAAAAAGTTCATTGATTTTTTAAATTTATATATATATATATATTTATATATAGGTTAATCAATCAACCTAATTTAATGTTCAAAAATAATATATAAAATGCAGTGTAGATACCAAATCTTGCAGCTATTCCATACACCAAAACTGATGAAAATTTAAGTAACTAAATATTATCTAAATTTACTTTTCTTGCATAAACCATTACCATATGCCAAACAACTGATAATACTCCCAATAATACACAATATTGCCATTCTACAATTGAACTTGTTATCATCATTACAAGTAATGCAAAATGTAAACCTACAAATAATGCTACAATCCATCCTGATGGAAGTGTTTTTATCATAAAATCTAAATGCTTTAATTAACTTTATTACTTCTCCAAAAATATTCCTCCAATATTCCTAAACCAATTACAAATAATGTCATAAATAACACCATATATGAAGTATTTGATTCATCAAAATATGATTTATAGATTCTTGTGTTTTATTAAGAGAGAAACAATATAGTAAGAGTAAAGAAAGATATAAAAGTTATTATTGTAGACAATATCAAAAGTTATGTATTTTCCTTTTTAAAAATGAATTCACCCTCATTATTTTATTTATTATACCTGCCATGTAAAATTCCAATACTCTTTTTCCTTGTGCCAAAAAAAATATGTAAAAGTATATCACTAGAATTATTAACATCATGTAAGTTAGTAAACATAAGAGTGCAGATGTTGTTATGGAAAGTGCTATTATTTATTATCAAAATTTCAAACTTATCCATGGAATGGCTATCATTCCTAACATTGCTAATTCTAAATAGACTTGTTAACAAACTGATAATCCTAAAGGAGGAACATCATCTACAGGATTTGTGACTGTTTCTAAATCATAACTAAGGTTCATTCTTTAACTGTAATAAATATTTTATATTAATGATTTTATATAATCACAAAATAATCATGATGCTATTGTTACTTCGTATTAATTTTGTATTAAACAATGTAGTTAAAAACGAAATCCATTAAATATTTTCTAATACAATTGTAAAAACAAAAAAATGTCTCTTCATTCCTCATTTGGCTATGATAGTCTTCGCTCAGTCATTTTTGCAAAAGCAATTAAAAAGTGTGAATGTACTAATCAACGTTAATATTATAGAAATTTAAAATGAGTATTATTCATCAGAAAGTTGTTCCGATATTAAGAGTAGCATTTCTTCTGATTCAGAAAAACATATCTTTGACAGGTATTATATCATTTAACATTATTTCTAGAGAATTTGCCTCTGAATCTGCTGAATCAAAAATTGTCTTCAATAATCAACAATCTCCTCTCTCTTAGTTTAATACTCAACAATGAATATAAATAAATAAACAATTATAGAAAAATACATAATCATTGTCTTAACTATTTTTTATCACTCTTAAATTAAGGATATATACAATAGTATTGTCTTATTTCCTTTTATTTTAAACAAAAACAGTTATAAGATAACAATGACTATTCCCTCTAAAATTATTTAATCAAATTCAACATGAAATATTAACTAAAAAATCACAAAAAATTTCTATCCATATTTAATTAAATTAAGTCCTTTTAATAAGATAAATTCTTAATAATTATTATTATATAAATTGTATATTAAACATATAACATTTTTATTTTTATTTACTAAAAAGGATTCATACACAAACAAAAAAAATAAAATTTATTGTAATTTTATTTCAAATTTTTAAAATTTATTTTATATCTGTTTAAATAATATATTGAATAAATATTTATAAAATTAAAGACTCTTTCAATTACCATATATATTTACTTGTTTATCAAAACTACAGCTGTAAATATTGTTATTAAATTCACCAAATCTATAATAATATATATATTCAATTACTTGATACCAGTCACAATATCCCTATGACTCTCAAATTTGAAAAATTCTTATTATTTTTTTATGTCAAATAAATGTATATTCTTATTTTCACCTACAGCTAAATATGCTCCTGATCTGTCATAAGAAATACTACCTAAATAAAATATAGATTTAAATAAAACTTATTTTTTATGATTAAAACAATTTTTAGAATTATCCAGGATTTCTCAAATCCCATTATAACACTTCAGTTTGTGAACATGATGCCAAATTAACTCCATTTTCAGAGAATACAACCTAAATTATAGATCCCTAAATATTATTTATTTTTCATTACTTCTTATCCTTCAAATTGAGCAACAAGTTAACCTGATGTAATTTTCCAAATTTTAATCTACGAATTTTCTTATCCAATTGCTAATAACAATCCATCAGGATGAATAGCAACCGAAGTAAATTTACATTATCCTTCAAAATCAGTCACTTTACTAATTTATAAACCAGATCTTAAGTCATAAAATAACAAAAGACCTTCAGCAGTCACAATAATAGCTATGTATCCAAGAGGATGAATTTCTAATCCAGTGATATTCTATCCTACTTTTATGGTAGAAGCTACTATTCCCTCATTAGATTCAGTATTATATTAATAAATAACTAAATCTCCTTCTGAAGTTGATGAAACAAATCTTAAATGTTCATCAATAATAAAAAATTTGATTGTATTTATTGCTTGATTGTTTTATTGATTCTAATACAACAATACTTCAGAACGATACAATGAAACTAAGCCAGCTTAACCACCTACAAGTACATAATTTGCATATATATCTAATGAAATTCCACCTTAAGTTTAAGTGTGTTATTACTTAATTTCATAATTAGATAAAATCTAAAATATTGAATAAGAGTACTTGAGGACTAGGAAATTAATCAAAATATGATTATTGCTTTCTCAAAACTTTTCTTTAGCTTGTTAATTTTAATGCATTTTATTCTATTTCAGATACATAATTTGCTGATAATTTTTCAGGAATATTATTAGTTTCTACTTCTACTTTATGATTTAATTTATTTTGTAATTGCGCTAATTCTATTCTTGCTTAATCTCTCTCTTTTATTAATTTTGATATCACACGACATGCAGCATCATGTTAATATAGTGCATGAGTTAATTCATGTCTTACTTATTCTAAATGTTATTTCAATTAAAATTGCTCCAATAATAAAGCATCCCATTCATTTTATAAAAGGGATAGTAATGAAGGTATTGATGTAGCTGTTACTGGTCTTGGCTTTTGAACTTTAGCTACTTTAACCTTAATATTTGAAATTATAATAATACTTCAATTAAGTCTTCTAAATTCAAAGGTCTTCCTGTTATTGGACATGTACCTGTACTTTCAATATGCTTTTCAATTAATCTTTTTTCATATATATGTCCACTAACTTTAGATATTACTGGTGTTTCTATTAATTCACCAGATAATGCACAAGTTTACCAGGATTACATATATTAATGATATGAATTTATTTGAATATTTTATTAAACTTATGTTAATCATCATTATTTTGTAATTTCTGTCTTAAGATTGTCAAATGAATCTACTGGAACATATTATGCAAGTGTATAATACTTTCCTTTACCATCATCTTCTTCCTTCTTCTTTCTTTACAATCTAACCCTAATTCTTCTTGGTAAATTACGAATTCCTCTTGCCCAAATAGCCTCATTTAATTATGGATCGACTCTAACATCATCAGTTAACATATTCTTTTAAGCTAAACAATCCCTTCACTTTTTTACCAAATCTAATAATGTGACTCACAGCTCTGGGTGCCTTTCTTTTAAAAGTCTCTTTGTGAACAGCTTTATGAATATTAATAGTATAGTCTCTGCTCACTTCACCTAAAGGATTAGGCTTTCCCTTTTCTTTCTTTCCCATTAATTAAAATCTTTAAAATTAATTTTAAAAAGTAAATAATTCTCAAATATTTTAGGAGAAGAAACTTGGACTGTATAGATATTTAAAAACTTTATTATATGAATAAGTCGAAAAATTCTTTGTTTTCTATATAACTTTTTAATAATAAATTAATAAACAAGTTTATACATCTGATCTTCATTTAATAAATCTAATAATATACAATTTATTATTTATAATACTTAATTAAATCAATGGTTGATATTTAAATTAAATTACAGATTCTATTAATCTTCAGTCTTCTTATTTTTATATTAGGAATTATTAATTTAATAGCATAAGATTTAAGGTTGTATTTTATTATAAGTAATGTACACCATTAAGTTAATTCTTAGTATAAAAATTTATTGATAAATAAATAATATCAAAACTCTTAATTTGAATATTTAAGAGAGGAGAGGGATTATGGATCTTGTGTTCCAATGTATAATTTTTTGACATATTTAAGAATCACTTCAGAGTCACTTATCTTAGTAGACTTCAGTATATCCTTTATGATTTAAAAGCTTGATAAATATTCTTTGCAAATGAATCTAGCCTCTTCATTAGAGAAAAGGACTTTTAAATCTTTTCGAGTATAGTTCTTTTTATTGTTTACTTTACTAATAAACTTTTTTATAGTAATATTCTATCTGACTAAATCTTTATAATTGTTGACTAAAATTAATGTAATAATTACGAAAGTAATTCTTAATTAGTACTCCCATATTTTTAGGGATATTCTTTGCTTCTTGATGATTTTTGTTTTAAGCTTTCTGATTTTGAATGGAGTTAAAACTATAATATACTTTTTCTCCTTCCTATTATTCATCGCAGACCTCATATTAGCTCTTTTCATCTAAATTGTTTAAAGTAGAAGGATTGAATAGATCATCAGGCTCGAAAAATATATTTGACATAATTTTAATTATTTATTAATGTTAAAATAGTTATTAAGCTTAATATTCTCTGATTATATCTATAATTCTTATTAAATTTATTAGTTTTAATTTGATTAGATGAATTCTGTTTTTTATAACTTTTGATTGAAATGAGATGAACAAGGATATACCTTAATAATTCAATATTTAAATATTTATATATTCATATAAATAAATTTGTGATTTGGTAACATAGCACAAAATTGAATAGTTTGTTTTTGAAAGTGTTTTTATATAAAAAAAGATATTAATTTATGGTTTATAAAATCAGAAATAAGTCATTCTTCTGGACTAGAGCTGGATGGAAAAATAATTGGCATCCTAAGAATTTTAATGCTCCTAGACCATCAAGCTCAGAATTCACCATTGGTATTAGATGTCGTTATGATCATAATTCATTTTTGAGAGGCAATGAAATAAATTTTATTTATTAGCTTATCATTCATATAGAAAGATTTCAAGACATTGTAAATAGTACTTCTTTGGTAATAAAGAATTGGAGGAATTATTTTAAATGGGTTTAAGAACATTTTTCATTGTACCACACATTGCTGAATGTTAAGTGACTCAAATTAAACATGGTGGTGAAAGAAGAATGGTAGATTAAATTGATAGAGATTTTGAATTAGTATCTTACAATTCTCATCCATATTAATTATTTACTTATACAATTTGGAATTAATATTTAGCAAATCAATAAGAAGCATATGAATAAAGAAAGAATGGTGGAAAAGCTATTGAAGATTAAGTTATTGATCATATTAGGTATATATTTTGAATATTATTTTATTAAGTGAATTGGTAAAGGATGAAAAAGCTAAATTAGGAGCTGGAAAATAATTGAGTATTGAAAGAACAGCAGAAATTGTTATGAATGTGATGAGATAATTGAGAGCAGCTTAATAAAGACCAAATCTTAATAATAGGTAAAGATTTACTACTTATAAGTAAGACGTGCAGATGGAGAATTTGATGATTTCCTTGAATAAAGAAGACCATTCACAGCTCCAAATAACTAATCAGCTACTCATTGAGCTGATTATATTAAAAACAATATATAACAACTTATTAATTATATTATTTATGTATTATTTCAATATTGTAAAGCTTCCTAAGCATAAAATTTAACATCTCTATCATTATCATCAATTAATTCATTTATTGCTCTACTTTAATATTAAATTTATACTATTTTATTTGATTTAATGTTCCTTAATGATCAATTTTTTTTGATAATGATTTTGCCACCTTTATACTAACAAATCTAATATTTGGAACATTATCTTTCATGCATTTCTATACAATTGGCCATAATTTATCTTGAATCATAGGTCCATCAGCAACTAATCCAATTTATTAAATGGCATATAAAGCATTCATTCTATATAAGAATCCAACATCCTTATTGAGAGTTTCTAAGCATTTAGATAAAAAACTTCCTAATGCCCAATCTATCTTATAAGTTTAAATTAAATCATTTAATCTGCTTAAACCTATTGTTCTAACTTCAGCTGCTCTATCCTTTAAAAATAAAACATAAACTGGTTCTAAATGTTTTAAGAATATATCTGTATTTTTGAGAGTTCTATGATAATAAAACACAAATACAATGCTAGATGGAATACAGTTTACATAGTTTCTTTTCTAACTCTCCATTTTGGATCTTCCATACTTTTTTTCAAATGAGGAATAAATTGACTTAATGCATCAGGTCCAATAGAAGCAGCAAATACACCAACTGATTAAGCTGCATTTTTTCTTACATCTTAATTATCATCACTCATTAATTCAATTAAATAGGATTGCAATTTGCTTTAACTAATATCTTTTGGTAAAATGGTGGCAATCTATCCAATAACTAAACAAGCATTTTCTATATAATAATGAATATGATTTATACATTTCACTTATGCAAATGCATCCTTTGCTAATAATTATAATAATGGTATTATAAGGTTTAATTTCTCTGGAGATACAAACTTAATAAATTTAGCCAAACTTTTAACAGCAATTACTCTGACATCACTTTCAGAATCTTTTAGTAAGTTTGAAAAGATCTAAATTAATGAAGAATCTGCAATTTCTTTACCAACAGCTTCAGCTAACTTAATATTTTAAATTTATAAAATACTTCTGCAAATATCTTTGATAATGCCAATCTTACTCTCCATGATTTATCTTCTGCTGAAGATATAATTAATGGTAAGATATTTGTTTTATTTTCATTGATATTAAGAATTTTAGCAATATTCATTATACTTTCCATACACAATAATCTAACTTAATCTTATTCATCTTAACATAATTGTTTCAAAACAGTTATCAAAACTTCTATAACATGATTTTTATCCATATATTATGCTATTTCACCAATTTTTGTAGCAACAGCCCTTCTAACCATTGGTGTTTCTTCACTACATAATTCAGTGAATTTTCTTAAAAATAGTTAAATTCACATAAAATACTATCTTAGCTTTTCTTTTTAATTTCCTGATCTAGAATACATAGGACACATTAAACTAACAGCAGAAACTCTACATGTAAAATTGGCTTCATTTGAAGCTAGTTTTAAAATCTAATAATTCTTAATAGTTCTTACTATTGGGACTATTGTATTAGCAATTTCGTTGTCTCCTAAAAAACTACATACAATTGTTATTGATTTAACAGCTTAATCTCTTACTACTGTCTCATCAAATCCTGCCAATTGTTCTAAGATTGGCAATAAGCATATAGATTATTATGGAATGATTTATCTAAATAAACCTATTAAAATACGCAATATAGCCTAATTCTTCTGCCATTGCAAATAAGACTTCATCATCCTCTTTCTTCATCAATGCTATAAATTGATTATCATATAATTACTTTCAAAATATGGCAAAAGAACAGACTTTATTTTATCTGTTCCTAATAGTGTTGCGATAACTCTAACTCTATGCATTGCATTAACTTTAAGATAAACTTCTTCATTTTCCATTTCCTCTTTGAAAACATCTATTGGATTATCACCCATATTTGATTGATTTAAATCTTTAATTATATATATATATATATTTACGATATAGATTCAATTTACATATTCTTATAATCCAAAATCAGCAGCCTCTTATAATGCTTTACTTAACATATCCTAAACAAAAGTTTAATCTGATTTTAATGACAAAGATTTATGATAAAAATGAATAGCTTTACTTAAACTGTTTGGTAACTCACTTAAATGATATGAAAATGCCAATCCAAAAAATATTTATGGAGAAACTGAATTTAACTATAATAAATATATAATTAAAATTACCTAAATACACTTTTCAAATATTTAAATAGCATTTTTATAATCCCTTTATTTTCTAAAAGTATGTCCTAAATTTTAAAGTGCAGATTCTCTAATTTTATGATTTGAATTTTAACAGAATACTAAAGCATTTAAGAAATACTATATTATAAATAATATATTTACATCTTTGGCTTCATTATATTTCTTTTATTTATAAGCAATTACACCTAATTCATTTTGAATCATAGGATCAGTTGGATTAATATCCTTAGCCTATTATAAAGACAAAATTGCTGTCTATAAATTATTTGTTCTCAAATATTCCATTCCAATATAAACATGTGCTTAATAACAACCTGGAAATTGTCGAGTTATAGATCTATATATTGACATTGCTTAATCTGATTCATCTTGAATAGCATAGGAATGTGCCAACCCTATCCAACTATATATGAGATGTTAATTTAATTAGATAGATTTTTGAAATTATTTCCTTGCTACTTCATATTTTTTTGTTGAGAAATAATATACTCCAACAACAAACCAACTTAAAGCATTTGATGAATAATTTTCTATCAAATTATGAGCACAAAAATATAATTCTGCTATTTAATCTAATTCCAATAAACATGATACATATGTTGGAATCACATCAAAATATAATGGATCTTATTTAATTGCTTTTAATGACCAATCATATGCAGATGCAATATCATAACTATAATATGCCTTCTTTGCTTTAACATTAAGTATATCAATATTATTTTTCCTATCTAATGTTACATAAACTAAATCATTTTATATAGAATTTTCCTCTTTTCTTATATATGGACTTCTTATAGGTGATGGCTTCATTTATTAAATATCCACTTTATCCACTATTTACAATTATTATGCTATCTTTCTTTTCTCTTCTTATAAATGATCTACTATTTTTTGATTCCCAATATCACAATTTATTGTCTTACTCACATAATAATCTTTTAACCAACCTTCATCTGAATTTAATTAAATTTATTGAATCAGATTTTCCTTCTCATCAGAAGATATTAAATATGAATCTACTAATTATTAAAAAACTCTAACATTTGTTGGAGTCTTCTATAAACACTCATAATAATTTGAAACTGCTAATTATTTATTTTCTAATGCCTCATAACATTATCCTCTTATCCAATCACTTTATGATGTAATTTCATCTTACAATATCTCTATTCCTAATTCATATTATTTATTTGCATATAAGGCTCTAGCAGCTAATACTGCAAAATCACCTTATGTCAATTTGTACTTTAAAAACAAATTATATACTCCTGAATATTCTGCATTTGCAAAATGACACTAAAATTATTATAGTAAGTAATATTACAATTCCAAGCATAAATACCAAATATGCCTATGTATTTTAATCCTGATTTAGACATAATAATTTTTCAGCAAAAAATATAGCTTACTTGTATTACCCTTATAGATAGCTACTAATTCCCAATTAATATATATTCATAAAAGATGGATTATTTAACAATTGATTTGCAAATATTGAATTTGATGAAGGATTGAAATAAGGTAGTTGTACTTCATAGTACATATTTTAGTATTTCTAAGGTTCACTTGATTATCTTATTATTTTTGATGTCTTTTTTTGAATTGACATTAAACAATAATATTAAAAAATTTGAATTTTTATATTAATTTTATGCTAATTCTAATTATACTAACATTTGTACATGCTTTTTAAGAATAAAAAGTTTTAGCCAATCTAAATCAACCTTAATTACATTGTCTAGACATTAAAACTGATAATAAACTTTATGATATTAAAGTGTCCTTTCTTGGAAGTGTAGGCATTGATATAACAATGTTTTGGCAATCTCAATAATAATCATTTATTGAAACCATAAACAATTATTAACCAATGGATACTGTTAAATTAAGATTTAGAAATGATTTAAACAGAAATGAAAATTGTTTCTATGTTGTTGGATATTAAATTTCAAGAGGATTGACAAATGAAACTAAATTCTAATATATTATTAGTATTTTTCATTTAATAAAATTTAGAATTAGAAGAAGTCTTAATTGATGATCTAAATTGGACCTATTTAGGTTAATATCTTTTTGTTATAGTCGTCCCTTTTATTATTGTGTAATTTATTAAATGATGAGTGGATATCTAAATATTATCAATTATTTTATTATCAATCACTTTATAAAATGTTTCTATTTATATTTGTTTATTTATAATTTATTATATATATATTATGCATTCTCTTCAAGCTATTTATAACCTTAAATCTTTTGAATATATCGTTGTCGGCCATACTAAGCCTAAAGCACCGGATCCCATTCGAACTCCGAAGTTAAGCGGCTTAAGGCGAGGTTAGTACTAAGGTGGGGGACCGCTTGGGAAGTCCTCGTGTTGACAACCCTTTTTTTTATTTTTTATATTAACTCTAACATTTAATTATTTTATACGAATTATTAAGATTATAAAATTATCTTTAATATTTATACTATTTTATTAACATATTTTAATTTTATGTTTATGACTATTAAAAATCAAAGTTATCAACCGATATCATCATATAAGTTTTGATGGTTTTTGAACAATAATGTCAAATTTGGAGATTAAATAAAATAATATTTGATATCTCTTATTATAGATCATTATATATAATATTAATTGATGTATGCGATGAAAATGATTTGAATGGAATAAATATTAAAAATATAATGTTTTCAATTCATTATCTTAAAATAAATAAAGATACAATTATCTTGATTTATATATTTAAGCTATGAATATGTTTAAAACAATATAAATAATTTTATATAGAGTTTGTGTTAATCAAGGATTGAAACTAAGAATATATAATGAATATTTTCCATTTTATAAATGTATTTAAATATACTTTATATTTTTCATAAATATATATTTTAAGATCTCCAAAATTAGCTAATTTAGATTCAGCTTCAAAGAAAGCAAACGTAAATCATGAACAATATATATTTAATTCAATAAATTTTCAAAATGCATAATTAAAGATAATTTAGAATTTTTTCGAATGACATTCCAAAAAGTTCTTATATGTTCATAAGAATATATTGTTGGAAGCCGAGAAAAATAATTTTATTTTATGAATAATCATTCACCTTCTAGACTTGAATAAAACAAATCGACTTAAGAATCCAGACTAAATACCTTAAGAAAATATTATGAGCTTTCTTTAGAATAAAGAAAAGATCTCGAATATTTTACTNATACATGATCTAGAGTATTATATCAAACTATAAATAGCTAACAGAATTCATTTTTGACAATTCAGAGTTATTATTCAAACCCACAGCCCGCCTAATAAAATTAAAGAAAAAATTAGTACAAACTTCAAATTATTAATGTAAGTTTGGAACTTGATATCATTTCATGTATTCAAACATATTCCTATATTTGCACAAAGTAGAGATTAAGTTATTGAAAATGTTTATATTATTCATTTTATTATTTCATATTAAACTATAATAAACCCCCATGTATAAATAGAGAAGTGGATAGTAAATATCGTTGTCGGCCATACTAAGCCTAAAGCACCGGATCCCATTCGAACTCCGAAGTTAAGCGGCTTAAGGCGAGGTTAGTACTAAGGTGGGGGACCGCTTGGGAAGTCCTCGTGTTGACAACCCTTTTTTTTATTTTTTATATTAACTCTAACATTTAATTATTTTATACGAATTATTAAGATTATAAAATTATCTTTAATATTTATACTATTTTATTAACATATTTTAATTTTATGTTTATGACTATTAAAAATCAAAGTTATCAACCGATATCATCATATAAGTTTTGATGGTTTTTGAACAATAATGTCAAATTTGGAGATTAAATAAAATAATATTTGATATCTCTTATTATAGATCATTATATATAATATTAATTGATGTATGCGATGAAAATGATTTGAATGGAATAAATATTAAAAATATAATGTTTTCAATTCATTATCTTAAAATAAATAAAGATACAATTATCTTGATTTATATATTTAAGCTATGAATATGTTTAAAACAATATAAATAATTTTATATAGAGTTTGTGTTAATCAAGGATTGAAACTAAGAATATATAATGAATATTTTCCATTTTATAAATGTATTTAAATATACTTTATATTTTTCATAAATATATATTTTAAGATCTCCAAAATTAGCTAATTTAGATTCAGCTTCAAAGAAAGCAAACGTAAATCATGAACAATATATATTTAATTCAATAAATTTTCAAAATGCATAATTAAAGATAATTTAGAATTTTTTCGAATGACATTCCAAAAAGTTCTTATATGTTCATAAGAATATATTGTTGGAAGCCGAGAAAAATAATTTTATTTTATGAATAATCATTCACCTTCTAGACTTGAATAAAACAAATCGACTTAAGAATCCAGACTAAATACCTTAAGAAAATATTATGAGCTTTCTTTAGAATAAAGAAAAGATCTCGAATATTTTACTCTTATCAAAAAGTTCATAAATAATTAAGAGGAATATCATGATACTGACTCTTCTAATGCTTTTAGCTTATCTGAGACTTCAAATACTGTGTATATTGAAGGAAGTGAATAACAATAGATATGCATACGGATGTTTGATATAATAAGATAAATGAAAAGAGCAGTAAAATAGTCTTAAAAATTATGTTCAAACAAGATCAAAAAATTGAATAAGATTGTTGAAAAGAGACATAAAGAGATCAATACAATCAAGATTAGCCTTGGTATGTTATGAATAAAACTATTACTATATTGTTAATTAAATGTATAATATATATATATATATATTTATTAATAATTTATCTAATTCAAAATTATTTATAAAATCTTTAATTTCTTAATTAACATCTTCTGTTATTATCTTAAATTACTATAATGATAATTTATACCAATCATTTAAGAAATCTTTGATTCATTTATTCTTTTTATTAAATTTATGAATTTAATAGATTAAGTTTGAATTTATACCAATAAATCTTGAACAAATCTTTTAGAATATTATCATTTCTATAATTAATTTAGATCTAATGACATCTTTTAAAAATATTATGTTCTCAAACTTAAATTTAATTAATTAACATTTATTTATTGCTTTATCAAATCTTCTTTTTTCTATTTCCAATTATTGCACTTGATTATTTATCAATAAATTTATCTAATCTATCATAAATTAAATTAGGATAAAATTTAACATTTATTAACTTTAAGGGAATATTTCAATACTAAATTTAACGACTGGCAATACCTTTCCTAAGTTATTTTTATTATATCAGATTTAAAACACTTTTTCTAAGTTAAATAATATTTCAATAAGATTCACCAAATTTTCTTTTGTCCATTATAAGCAAGAGAGCTTTGCTTTAGTTTACTTTTTACAATAAACATTCATTTTTTTTTAACTTATATCATTTTGCACTTCTTTCCATAATTCAAGTTCTTTATTTAGTTAATATTCATTTTTAATTTTTATTAAATAATTACTGAATCTTATCAATAGGTATATCTTATATTTTCAAATTATTCTTTTCAATTTAGAAAGGATTTTAATGCTATTTCTTATCTTATTTAAGATTCTCTATTTTTATTTATTTATTTATGTTTGACATTCTCATTTGAATGAATGCAATTCAAATTTTTATTTTTTTCCCAATCGAATTATAATTTATCAGTTTATGTACTATAATATAATGTTCTAAATTTAGCAAAATTTTTAAGGCAATATCAAAAGCATTTATTTGAGTTCCCTCAAATATTTTGCTACATTGTCTATAAGAAATATGAAAATATTTTCTATTTAAACTTATATTATTCAAAGTCTTTAATCTTTTTATCATATATTTTATTTTTAATCATTCTCCATCCTTAAATGGTAAATCCTAAATTCTAATTTACTATTCCTTTTAATTTTCTTTGATATAATTTATTTATCTAAGCTCTTTGGTGAAAAACTTGTGGAATTTTGTATTAAGATAATTTTAGTAAAAGTATCAAGGCCATCTTCACAAGGTAAAGAAACTATTAATTATAAGATCAAATAGTATAATATTTATATTGTGTAAATTTATGTAGTTTAAGGACTAGTACATGAAGTGTAAACCCTTAAAAAAGGTATTTCTTTAGAATTATTCAATACTATAAAAAAAATATAATCAAATACTCAAATTATTTGTGTTTATAAGAAAATTATTGATAAATTAGTACTTAGATATGTGTTATTTTAAGAGTATCTATAAATATCATTAAAATAAATATTAATATTTCTATTGATAAAGTATAAAATGAAACTACCCTTCATTTATAACTTCATATTTTTCAAATAAATTTTCATGTTGTGTGTAGAAATACTTAAACATTTAATGAGATTAATAACTTAAAATAAATTGAAATTAAACTTTAAAGGATACAGTATTAAATGATAGTAAGATTTTCTTAATATAAAATAAAATATAACTAAATTTATAAAATTTACATAAATCACTTAGTTGATAATATCAAAAAAAAAGTAAAATTTAAAATACTTTTATGATAATTAATCTTTTCCAATACCCATTTTAAGTTCTTTGATATTGTAATTAAATAAATAAAAATAGTTTTCAAATTATAAATCTAATAAATCTATTTAGTCTAAAAAGCTTCTCCATTTTTTCCTTTATGTTTTTTAAATAAATAAACTAAAATAATTTGTAATAAATTCCATGTTTATTATGATATGTGCTTACTATTATTGAGTGAAATATTAAATAATATACTTTTTTGATGATGATTGCCAATTAAACATAATAGGTTTTTAAAAACAAAATAATTTTTGGTAATTTGGCTAAATAATAAAAAAAAACAATATGTATTCACTTCCTGGAAGCAAATAACGAATTTTGTTACCTTAAAGACATAAGACAATTTGCTTTAAACCTGAAATCTAAGAAATTTAAAAACTAAAGCATTCAAAGGCTCTTCATCCATTTCATTTGAAATACAAGCCTATTTCTTCTAAATGTTTGGAATATGTCCTTTCAACAAGGTTAGATTATTAGACTATTATAAGTTCAAGTGAATCTGAAGGTGAATGTGAGAACAATAAAAGTTGTCATTGTAGAGATTGTGGACATTAATCTAAGAAAATGAAACATATGAAAAAGAAATATCGACGTTTTAGTCCTGTAATGCATGAAAGAATAAGAGAAAGAAGAAATAAACTTAAGCAAAAATTTAAAAACGCAGTTTATGTTATTATGTGGATGCAAAAATTAGTAATATAAAGAAAGAAGAAACCTATAATAATAAAAAAGATAGTTAGAATGAAGACTAAATTCTTTGAAGCTCTTCCAGAACCATCACAAAAAGATTAGTAGATCATTTATCTAGAAGTAAAATCTTAATTTTATATGTGAAGCCAATCCAACCAGTGCAAGTTTAAATGATTGATTTTAGACACAAATAGAGATAATCAATTGTTAACTATCTAAATAATAAATTGCATGATTAAGAACATAATTCAAATAATTATTAGTTATCGCTTCCAAAAGTACGACACTAAAATAATCTCTCCAGTAGTCATTCAAGATTATTACTTAAACCTTTGAAAACTTAAAATGATGAAATACTAACTCCATAAAGAAATAATTTACATTCTATAATACATAAAGCTACTCCTCCATAATAATCCTCAAGTTCTCCTTATTTAAAATAACCACCTTTGACAACTAGAATAAGATCATTATAAAATAGACTCTATCTACCTGGAAAATATTGAAATTTGAATCATCTATACTGTGTTAATTGCAATAAATATATAATAAATTATCATTAACATTATTAATTATTGTTACTAAATTTATAAAGTATTGTAATTTATATTTAAGACATATAAAAATATTTAATTAACATTTTTATATATCAAAAAAGATTTGAAAATGAAATAAATAATTTTTTGACTTAATATATAATAATAATCAATAGAAACTAATTCATTTGAAATAAAATGATTAAGATTAAAAAAATGACTTAGTTAGAATATACAGGGTTATTTGAGAATATCTATTGATGAGAATCCACAGCATTATATGATATTAATATGTACTTTCTCAATATTTCAATTGAAGTTTGGAAAAACATTCATTAATTTAGAGATGTAAATTACTTAAATAATAAATATAAAGATGGATAAGTAGATAAATAATAAAAAGATAAGAAAGTCTTGTATTTTTTATAATTCTTTTTGATTTGATAAATAAAGATAAGAGAAAAATTGCGAAATGAAATAATTAAGAATTTTATTCATTTTTACCTAAAGTAAAATAATCAATTTGATATTTAAGAGTTTATTTTGATTAAGAAAGTCAAATAGTAAAAGTAACCAAATTAGAAATCTATTTGTGTCTAATATAAGGTATTACTAATATGTCGAATATTAGTAGTACTTTATAAGAGATAAGTAAAAAAGAACAATTGAATAAAATGAAAAAGAATTTATGAAAGCTTGATTTATAAGAGAAGGTGTTTGGAATTTAATAAATATGATGATGATTGATTAATATATCAGGATTGTGAGTTTAGTTTGATGCTAATGTATTAAAACGGATATGCATAATTAATTTTAATGAAAATAGTATTATTGCTATGCATGATGATGGCTGTCTCTTTTGGAATCTCATCTAAATTAAGTCATGCTAAGAAGTTGGAAGAACTACATGGTAGCAAGTTAGGCAAGACCATTTTAAATTTAGTGAATCTTCATTCATTAGTATAAGGACCAATATCTGAATTAATTGAAGCAATAGAAGAATTAGTAAGTTTAACTATAATAATAGATAGGTGATATTAACACTAATATTGATGAAGTAGAATACAAATTTTAAGTACGTACAAACGAACATAATTCTTATGTTGCTTAGGTTGGATAATAATTACAAGATGCTGAATAAGATATTGCAAGAATGATAGATGTTATTGATAATTTATTGATTCCAAGAAGGGATTAAATAAGAAATAAAATTGAATCACTTATTGAATATGATGAATTTAATAGAAAAAACGTAGTTGAAACTACATTACTTAGAGAATAAGAACATGAAGCATATCTTTAATAAATAGAAGAAGATAATGATGCACTTGATGCCATTGATGATGCTATCAATCTAGTAAGTTCTTTATCAAATCCATCTTTATTATAAATTAAGAATATCAAATTTACATTAAAAAGATTGTCATCTAAATAATGGAATCGTGTTCATTAAGGACCTATGGTATAAGCTTTACTTTAAATTGCATTAAATTAAAATTTCAGTGATTAAGGAATATTAAAATAAATTGTAGATGCATTAAATGAATTTAGAAATCAAGTTGTTGATGCTATGAATGCATTAACTAAATAAGAATAAATTAATATTCAAGAATTTGAAGAAAGATTAGAATAATTAGATGATGAACATAAAGAATTCTAAAGATAAATCAATTAATCATAAGTTGAACTTGATGCTACTACTTGTATTTATTAATTAATATAAAAATATAGAAAAATTAGAAGATTGCAATTAATTCCTTGTTTAAAGATAATCTGATAGATTATAATATAAATCCTAATTAGATTTAGAAAATGAAACCTATGCTGTTGACACTGATATCTACACTCAAACTATTAATGAACTTTAAAGAGAATTGCCAATAGCAGAACAAGGATTATCGCTTATCAAATCAGCTGATTTTTCTGATATTAAGATATGAATCAAAATACATAATTATTTATTTAATAATAAAATCAAAAATAATTATTTATTTCAAATATCTTTAATTCTCAATCTCTAAGATATTAAGATTATAATTATTTGATATCAAAGTATAAATCTATAAATTCTTATATTTATTAATCTTATAAATTTAGACATTCTTTCATATTCCATAATTTAATTACTCTATAAATTACACATATATATCATTTAATTTGATTGATTAAGAACAATAAATTAAAATGATATCAATAGTAATATTTATAATTAAAAAGGATTAACTCCCTTAAATATTACAGTATTGAATATTATTTAAATAAATATGAAAATGATAATTCAGCTAAATTTAGAATCATACTTTTAAAAACGATTCTCTAAAAGATTATATGGATTTTTTAATAAGTTTAATTTTTATTATGAGTTACTTTAGTGATATCAATATTAATTATTTAATGTAGAGTATTTAAGCCTCTTTTGCTGATAAATATCCTGATAGAGTGTATGATAATAATACATTATACTTAGTCCAATTTTGCTTGAAATTACAGATAAATCTAAAATTCGATTTTCAGATGGATCACAACACAAAAAATATTTAGTTAGTAAATCAGATCATTTCTATCATTTTTTTTAAATACTCAGAAATTCTTTAAAATTGTCAAAAAAAGAAGCCATATATTTATTTGTTAACAATTCTGGATTGATTAAACCTGGTAATTAAAATTTCTTAATTAGAAAGTCAAGTTGGAGAAATCTATTCTAAACATCGAAGTAGTGATGGTTTTTTAAGAATAATTTTAAGTGAATATGCCACCTTTGGATGATATTTTTGAGAATCTATTATTATTTCTGAATAATTGTTATTATATTTTATTTAAATTTTTACATACTTGTACAGAATGCTATGAAGATTTATATCATATCATTAATAATTAGTAAAAGTATTTGTTTTATAATAAACTTAAAGAAATACACTTATTAATTGAATAACATATAATTTCATAATGAACTTTTTCTCATACATATATGTTCTTATCTTAAAATTACAAGTTCATGAGATTTCTAAATTTCTGGAAAGATATTGCCATCCCAATAATTTCTTATCATCACAGGAGGATCTTTGTGTTTATAAACATAAAAAGAAGAGGACTTTCTTAAAAATTAATTAGACAACAAAACTTAATTGCAAACTTATTAATCTTTTGGACAAGGAGGTATTTTTTCAATTTCTATTTATTATTTTTCTGTAATAGCATTTTAATGCTTTTCTTAATAAATAACTTAAAAAATTACAAATTAATTAAGTTCTAATTTCTTCTCTAGCAAAATTAAAGGCTTCTTTTTTTATTTTGATTTGGAAATAGTGATATTTAAATATTTCAACATCACAATATATATCTACATATTACTATATATAATTAATTGCATCAGCTAATAAAATATAAATCTATATAATTTACTAAATTAATCAAATTTTAATAGTTCATTTTTCAATAAAATCAATAATATTAGTGCACTAATAGTCAAAGATTTAATTCCATCTATAAATAACATTAACATAATGAAATTGGTTAACTAAGTTGGTATAACAATATACTTATGGTTTGACTTGATTTGTAAATATACATAAGTACCATTAAACTGTAAAAAAATCAGATTAAAGGTTTATTTTATGAAAATGTGTTTTTAATTCTGGAATATATTCTTAAATATAATAATCCAATATCTATTAATCAGTTAATGCACTCAAAATATTAGTATAATAATCAATAGGCATTATAGTTTCTAATATCTAAGTAAATGTCCAAAAAGCATCTTCTAAATCAAATTTAAGAGTATTAATTAAATAATTGACAATAAAGTTTTATCCTTAACAATATCCAATTTCAGGGTTTCTAATGGAATAAGCAATTAAGACTGTTTCAATTTATTTTTCTATTTATTTTTTTTTTATTGAATCAAGATGATTTAAAGTTCTAACAGAATCCTATAATCAATAATAAGAGTATTTACTAAATAAATAGGTTCAAATAATTCAGGAGGATATTTATCCTTTTATTCAAGCAATTTTAAAAATACTCCCTTATTTTACAATTTAATTACTCTAGCTCCAGATAGTTCTAATAAAACCCTTAATATAATAAATAATATACCAATTAATATTTAGATCACAAAAATCTCCTGTTTTTATTAATTTTTTGACTCTTTTTTTGATTTCTAAACAATAACATTCCCTAGTATATAATTATTTTAGATGCTAAGGATTATAATTAAAAATACAGTATTAATTTACTCAATTACTAATTCTGGTTTATTTTAAGATTTTGTCTAAATTTATAACTAATCTCTTCTGAATGGTTTGAGTTGATTATTCTCATCTTTAATACTCATTTTCAAAGTTTCTTAAATATCTACTTTCATTTCATCATTTAATATCTTCTAATAAATATCGTTTTGCTTATCTCTAATGTAATTTAATCTTTGAATAAGTAAATTCTTTCTTGGCTTTTTTTACATAATCAATTAATTAAATTAAAAAGAAAAATATAATTGACTTTATTCTATAAATACTAAAATAATAAATGAAGATAAACATAAAATTAGTATGTATGAACAAATATTTTGATAGATTAGATTGATAATAATGATATATTTAATATTAATTTTCATATTTATAATATATTATTATTATTGCTTATTTAGTAAATTATGGAGAACTAACATCCATTCATAGTACTTCTATTAGGAGATTGTAATACTGGGAAAACAACAATAGTTGAAAGATATTTAGAAAATAAATTAGTTGACCCATAACCAACAATTGGAGTAGTTAAAAGAGATAGTTAAATAGATATCTGTAATAGTAATTAGAAAGCATAAGTAATTTCTAGTCTAATTAGATATATGATACATCTGGGAATGAAAAATTTAGAGCATAAGTTTTAGCTGAATTCAAGAATGCAAAAGCTGTTGTATTGGTTTATGATATTACTGATTATTAAAGTTTTTAAAATGTATAGACTTTACAGAAAGGTAATAATTAGATTTATTGTGAATTAGAAGTAATAAGATAGAATCCAAATATAGATTTTTGGATACTTGTAGGAAACAAGTTGGATTTAAAAGAACAAAGAAAAGTTAATATTGATGAAGGAAAGAAGTTTGCTTCATAAATTGGAGCTAGATTTATTGAATGTTCAGCTTAACAACCAAGCAATATCAATTTAATATTTTTAACTATTTAATAATGGACTTAAATAAATATTTAACCAAAATATGTCCCAGAATAAACTTAAAGACTTTTAGAGAAATTGAATAATGATGAATAATAAAAATAATAATTGTAGACTTCTACTTCAAAAAATAATTAAACTAAATTTAAAAATAAGAATATAAGTTTCTCATTAATTTAGAATAATACAAATAATATAGTTTCATAATCATTTGATGATCAATAAAATTCATTTAATGGTGATAGTATATAAGATTATTTTACATAATTATTAAAAAAAACAGATATATAAAAAGTAAATTAATGATATTATTAAGTTAGCTGATGTGATTGTAGAAGAAGCATAAGATAATGTAATTTAATCTTTGAGATAAGAAACTTTATTTATATCAAATTCAAAACCATTATTTATTCTTGATGAAGTTAATTCTCAATTATAAGATAAAATTGAAAATAAAATAATGATGATGAAAAAGAAACATAAATAATTAGATAAATTAAGAAAAGAAATAGCATAGAATTTATT